ACCAGACTCAGTGTGAGCGGCCATCTGCTGAGGCCGACTGGGGTTCAAGGAGACAGAAGCAGACATACAGATATGAGCAGAAAGGGCAGAACCGCCCGGAAACACACAGCTAGGCAAACAAACTCCGAGCTAACTCCTATGTCAGACGATGAAAAGAGCATATCCAGCCAGTCACAGTCAGAGAAACAGTACTACACTACAAAACAGGCCAATCTTGAACATGTATAAACAAAGGTGTTGATGGCAGCAGCACAGCTTATATTTCGTAATAAAGTCATACAGGCCTTAAGCAGCACATATGACATATAGTACATAAATACTGTAAAGCAGTGGACCGAGGCAGCTGCCTTGCGGAATACTGCACACAAGTGTTACAGTGTCCGAAAATGAGACGTTGAAATCATCACATAGTTTACTGTTAACCAAACAACTACTCATGAAGCGTAATGCCTGAATTGCCCTTTTTAAAAGTATCTGAGCATGCATTCAAGGTCTCCAGAGTCCTGCAATGAAAAATGACTCAGAGGTGTTGAAGTGGAGACACATTTAATGATGCAGAGGCAGACTTTTAGGAAAGCTGGCCTCACACATTTTTATGAAAAGATTTAGGAATTTTAATTTAGATCCTCAGAGAGTTCTTTTTCATGAGGGGTAATGACGGAACTCCATTAACCAGTAGAAGTAGTGAATCTCATGATACCAACATTTCTTTCATGGGTCCTTGGCTGGTCCTTTACAATTCCTTTTTAAACATCAATCTTTGTACTAAAATATTCTTTCTCATTATTTTATGGACATTAAGGTCAAAAGAGAAGTGTCTTTTCCTGGTCAGACCTTTTAATTCAGTAAAAGGGTTGATTCTAGTAAAAAAAAAATGGAGGCCTAGGAAAAGACCAGTGGCCAGAACTTAGAGGGGATTTGGCTGGGAGTCGCAGGACAGTAAGCTGCCATTCAGCTGCCGTTTAACTTGGAAGGGCCATTTTGAATGGCTGCTACAGTACAATCTTTTAGGAGTTCTACTTCAGAGACAATATAGCATCACCTCAGCATATCCACTGAGTTTTAACAAAACAAATCTCAACCAGCTCAAATTCTGTAGCTGTAGCTGAAGCTGTAGCTGTTTACTTTACAGACCACAAATCCTGTGTATTCTCAGAGACTGACCACAGATCAGCAGCAGCACATGGGGGATTTGAGATTCCCTGATGTGTTGGTGAAAGCAGCATTACGCAGGCAATTTGATCATGTATGACAGTTGGCACAACAGCCGACAGGGGAAGAGAAAGAGCAGAGCTGTCAGTAAAGGTTAATCTGCTCTTTGGTTTACTGATGCGGTCACATGGCTGCCTTAAGTTCTCCCCGAACTCAACAACCAAAGGAGTGAAGAAAGTACTGACTTGGCAACATTAGCTTAGATAATAGTTGTATAGATACCACTATGCTTTATACTGAACCTAATTATATTTAATAATAATAACGTAGAGAAACTGTGAGGGAACAAAATTGGTTGTAATCACTAATATATAGACATTTTGAGTTATCTTTGTTGAAATTATTTGGGAGTTCATAATCTCTGACCGTAAATTAAGTGACAAACTTATTATTTATTATCTCCATTACTTAGCTTCCTGTCAGCAAATCAGTTATCTTGTCCAATAAGGGGTAAATATCAAATTATTAGTTATTATTTTATACAAAATCGTGTTTTGTTCTGTCAAGGCCAATATTTAGATTAATTTAGCAAAATGAAATGGTTCATTAGAATACAGGGAGTAAAAGTTGGGTTAATGATCAAAGAGGATGAACTGGAGTGAGGGGTTAAGTGTGTGTGTGTGGGGGGGAGGACCAGGGCAGTGACAGAAACGCAATCATTTACGGTCGCTATGTGTTTGACCTCTCTGTTACATTCTCACCTGTTGACACCTCATCAATCTCTGAGTCCCCTTTCCAGGAAGGTGTCAGCAGCCCACGCCATGGGGGACCGTCTGTCTGTTTTATGTCAGAACAATGGCAGCTCAGATGGACAATTTAAAGCCAATCCTTTCTCTAAGTGTGCCCCTCTCTCCAAAGTGATTAATGATATAAAATATAGTCAGGATGAATCACTCCTCTTTTTAAGGAAGGGCGTTATTTAGTTGCTACTGTTCTGTTATATCATTCACAGCAAAACCCGCTTAGATACAATATTTATTATTATTATTTTTGATTACTTTTACATGATATTGCACTTTTTTGGCCCGTTGTCACATTAATGTCCCATTATTACCGCAAACTTCAAAGGATTTCACTGTGATGTTCAGCATAGAGCAAAGTATAGCTGTGATGTCAGAGAAAAACAGAGTGAGATGAGATCATTGGAGACGAGGTGGTCGAGACGCTACACTGTAAGGCAGGGATGTCAAACTGGTTCCAGAAAGGGCTGTGTGGCTGCAGGTTTTCTTTCCAACCAAGCAGTAGCACACCAGACTCCAGTCATCTAATTAAGTGAGTTCAATCTGAACACAATGACTTGATGAGATGAATGGAGTCTGGTGTGCTATTGCTTGGTTGGAAAGAAAACCTGCAGCCACACGGCCCTTTCTGGAACCAGTTTGACACCCCTGCTGTAAGGGGAATGTTGGCCTGATGGTTAGATCAGTGCGCTTGTGCTCTGAGAAGGTTGCAAGTACGGTTTATTCCCCACAGCCGGCACTCTGGCTCTCTGAGCAAGACCCTTAACCCCACACTGCTCCCCAAGGGGATGGGTTAAATGCTGAGGTAAATTTCTCATGACTTAAATTTTAAGCCTTTATGCCATATAGCACCCTTTACAGTGAAGAGTAGTGTTGCGCCGATGCCATTTTTTGGCCCAGATACCCGATACCTCGCTGTAAAGTATCGACCGATACCATACCGATACCATCTGTTTGAAATGTGTGTGTGTATATAATTGGATGTAAAATAAATACCAAAATGGTATTGGTGCCCTATTTGTTGGTACTCGCCGATACCGATACCACCATTTTATTGCTGGATCAGGGCCCCTCCCGATACTGGTATTGGTATCGGTGCAACACTAATCCAGAGAGCCATATTAACCTCATAAAACCCACTGGGTCGCCGGCGACCCGGTGGACCTTAAAGGAATAGTACACCCAAAACATGATTAGCCTTCATTTTCTACTCACCCCCATGCTGAACAACACCCTGGAGTACTTTTTTGATATCTCAAATGCATCTGGAGATCTGGGAGGCTTCTTGCTGTCTGCTGACATTCAAATAATGGAGGTCTATGGTGGCCGAGGCAGAAAGGTCCATAAAAGTCCACAAAAAACGTGTCAATATTCCTCCATACTGCTCGTCCAATGTATTCCAAGTGTCCTGAGTGGGTAGCGTCCATAATTTACTTGAAACGAAGTCATTTAGAATGTTTTTAGAGCATAAATAGTAGTGTATAGGATTTCCTAAAAGCGCGCGCCTGTGAGTTCACGATTGTACGGAAACCGCGGCAGACCAAACCAGATGAAAGTGCGCATTCAGCTCGGCAAAGAACTCATGCTCTTCCTCAACACTGAAGTCCTCAGACATTTTTCTTTCGTTGTTTCTTTCTTTGCACAGGTAAACAGCACATTTCTTCTTCTACGCTTGCATTATCGGCAGAGCAGACGCTGAATGCGCACTTTCATCTGGTTTTGTCTGCCGCGGTTTCCGTACAGTCGTGAACTCGCAGGCACGCACTTTTAGGAAATCCTATACACTACTATTTATGCTCTAAAAACATTCTAAATGACTTCGTTTCGAGTAAATTATGGAGTATCCAGAGTGTTGTTCAGCATGGGGGTGAGTAGAAAATGAAGGCTAATCATGTTTTGGGTGTACTATTCCTTTAAGTGGGGGTAATAACTCAGAATGCATAAAATTCCACCGCTAAAATTTTTACCCCCCCCCCAAAGCTCTGGAACTGTTATAGCTAGAGGTCTGAAATTTCCTGCATTTGTGGTTGACATGATGTAGAACAAATATAATACAATACAACCTGCTTTCTTTCAAGAATGTCTTTATTAATGCTGTTCAAAAAAGACCTATAATTTCCGAGAATAAAAAACAATAACTTTGAGTCATGTTTGAACTGATGCAGGTCGGTCTGTGTTCTAGTCACCTAATTTTTATATATTAGGAAACTAAAGGGTGTTAGCTTTCAAATAATGTATTGCACATGGAATTTGGGCTTACAGCTCCTAAGTTATTTGCCTTTTTTTCCTTTGCAAAATATTATTATCCAAAATGAGGTGGATGTTATGGGGTTAATGTCAGTCCAACTGGTAAAACAGGTTTACAGCCAAAATCATTGCACACCCTTTAAAAAAGATAAGGAATAACATGTTTATGAGTATCTATTACAGGACATTTGTCCTTTTAAAGAACCCCAGTGTCATTTGAAATGTTTGGTTTTAAAATGAAGGAAAAATACTTGAGGAAAGAGCAATAATGCTAAGGTCCGGTCCAGAAGCCTTATTTATCTTGTATCCTGTTCTGTAAAGAAAAAAAAGTTAAGCGCTCAGAGGATTTGAGCTGCGAACAGTGGAGTCCAGTGTTGGACGTAGTTGGTGTGCATCACAACTTTCTCATAAAATGAGTCATTATGCACCCAGTTCAGGATTTAATGTCTAGCTAGAGTAATTATGGCCACATTTTTTTTTACAGACCAACCATAAATATTAGCAATAATTTAGCTCGTCAATTTTAGGATCTAAAAGGTTTTCAAAATGTCAATTGATTTATTCCACCAAAGCTCAGTTCAGAGGATTAAATTACCTTTAGGTATGAGCGCATAATCTGTTCATTTATGCCGTGTTTCTTCTCCTTGTGATGGAAATTAAATCCAATGTGTGACTTTAAGCTTAAAACTAGAAACAAATTTGAAAAAATAGGAGTTAGATGGATTTTAGATGTTAACAAGTTGGAGAAAATATCTGCATAAACTAGAATAAGTCTTGTTGTTTGTCCCTTTTTCCTTCCAGCCATGTCTGACGTTGAAGAGGAATATGAGTGAGTGAAAAAACCTGATCTGTCTTCATTAAATGTAAACTTTTGAAGTAAAGTCACTCAGAATGTTTCCTACTTCTTTTTAGGGAGCAGACTGAAGGTATGTTCCAATCTACACTGTTTCCTATTAGCATTGGCCATGCATAAAAACTCTCTGAACTCTGTTGTTTTCTTTAATTATGTAGAAGTTGAGGAGGAGCAGGAGGAGGAGGAGGAAGACGAGACTGAGCAGGGCGAGGAAGATGGAGGAGGTATTGAAATTAGAAAAAAAAAAAATGTAGACTGTCAGCGAAGCTTTAGCACTCCTCTCAATTCTTATTAATGTTGTTGTTTTGGGTGAAGCATTACCCTATTAACATTTTATTTTTCTACTTTCAGAACAACAAGAATACCAAGGTAAGACAAAATACACCTCAACACAAACGTGATGAATGAGAACAGCAGGAATCTAATAGAAGATTGTGATTTCAAGGAAAACAAACCCTGCCCCCCCAAATGAACACCTAATTATACTGTATGCTTTATGCTGCTGAAAAATTGCTTTACAATTATTTCAATTCAGTAATTCTACGTCCTTTAAACAATAAAATATACTATTTTTAATTGGGAATTTATTGGGATGATTGTAGACCAGTAAAAAATAAAAATAAAAACTACACATTTTTACTACACTATTGAAACGCTGTGTTTTGAGGGTCACTCCAATGGCAGGGTTCACCTCCATCCCAGTCTTGAGGGCTTTAAAGTCATAGGGAAGTTTCAAATTATTCTGGCTTAAACATGCATATAAATGTACTCTTTATCAGACTATATTGTCCCAAGAGTTAGAAATTTGTAATAAAAAAAAAAAAATCCTTTCTCAAAATCAGGGTTTTCTTTCCATTATTTTATTCAGGCCAATTAGTTATACGTCAGCCTGGATGGGCGATGGACTTCTGTGTTTTCAGCAGGCGTAGAGCTAACAGAACTGCCAGCGTTGCGAGGCAAGGGCTCAAACATGTACGGCTGTAAGCCTTCTACACCAAACCAAGCTTCTGCCGCCCTGGCGTCCTCTTCCACAACATCTTCTTCCCTGCTTTCCTCTTCTAAATAAAAAATGTATGGTGGAGGAGACTCATCCACGACACAAAACTCTCCTCCTCTTGCATGTTTCCTCGACAGTGCCGTTTCTAAGTGCTACTTAGTGCTACTTACTGTACTAGCACTATATATATATATATATATATATATATATATATATATATATCATTATTTATTTATTTATTTTTTTCAATTCAGGCTGTTTTTAATTGATTCAGAGAGTTCCCTTTTCCTAGTGATGCTAATAGTTCCCAAATCATTATGCTGCCAACCCAATGTCAGATGGGATTTCTTTTTTTTGTGGAATGTTTTTGGTGACAAGAATTTTCAATTATTGTGGGGTAGCATGCATTTTTCACTTCTGTCCCGTCATCTCACAAATCGATGCAATGCCGCACATTTGACTAGGTCCAATTAGAAAAAATGAAACAATATATAATGTATTATTTATAGGGGCTTTTCCAGAATTTGTGAAAAGGCAGAGCTGCAGTCATGGTTCCATAGCTCCAGAGCCACACATAACAACCAGCTCATTGACTCATTGTGCAATCCCTCACACTGAGCATGCTTGTAGCGAAAGTGGAGGGGAAAAACATGACCCTTTTAACATGAAGAAACCTGAGCAGAACCAAGCTCAGTGTGAGCGGCCGTCGGCTGAAGCCGACTGGGGTTCAAGGAGACAGAAGCAGAAATACAAAGAACTTTAAAAAGGGTGTTCATGCTGGAAACTAATGTTGCTGAATGATAACATCTCTGCAGAGATTAAAAATTAAGTCCAGGTTTGCACAGATGCGTGAATGCAACTGTTGCGGATAAGGGTGTCCCAGGTAACACGACTTAACACGTGGACCAGATTTTAACAAAATTTAAGTTCATTTAGTTTAGGGGCTTCTCCTTAAGTCAACCACCATTTCCTTGGTCTTACTGGTATTAAGACACAGGTGCTATCCAAACTTCCTGATGACCGACCTGTACAAGCTTGAGCTCAAGCAGGACAGAAAGAGATTGAAAAAACTGGTGAGAAATGCCATTTCTGTCCAAGGCTGCCCCATCTGGAGGAAGTGGCTGAGAGGAGGGTGCTGTCCAAGCTTACATACATCATGGACAACTCCTCTCATCGTCTGCACCCGACTGCACCAGACTGATCAGATGATCAGCTCCATTAGTGATATACATATAACCCGTCTGTAAAAAGGAGCGCTACAGAAGGTCATTCATGCCTGCTGCCATCAAACTTTGTAATGCGGCACAATAACTGCAAAAACTTGTGCAATAATTAATGTGCAATCACTATTTTAATACCCTGTCCAAGAACCTGTTTTATATTTAATACCAAGTGCAATAACTATATATATATATATATATATATATATATATATATATATATATATATATAAATCTATTTAATACCTTTTGCAATAACCCTGTATAATAATCCTGTTAAATAGCAGACTTCAGCTATGACATATATATATGGACGCAGTGCATGCTGTATCAATCAATCAATCAATCAATCAACTTAGATGGGGGCCATAATTATTTCAAAATTCTATGGGTTACTTATTTATTTTTCATTACAAAGTTACATACCTTAGAAAAGAAATATGTACGCATGTTGTCCGACATAATTTTTCAACATTATGGGTTAGAAATAAGTAAAGAACTGTCTCTGTGACATCTGGACTAGCCTAAAGAGTCTGATTTACATCAACATGAGTCTAAAATAGAGGCTGTGAATTAGGGAAAAATACCAGCAGAGCACCTTTAGCTTTTTTTATTTTTAAAACAAGTTTCCTGCTTAACGATCTTATAAAGATTTTTCACCTTTTAAAACTATCATGAAGTGAGCTCTTTTTTTTGTTGTTTTTCTCTACAGAAGAAGAGCGCCCCAAGCCTAAGTATGTCGTGACAACCTAAACTCATGTTACATCTGTCTTCCTGTTTTTATTGCTTTCTTTGTCTAAAGAATGTGTTTTCTTTCAAAGGCCGCTTGTGCCCCAACTTGCTCCTCCAAAGATTCCTGAGGGTGAAAGAGTTGATTTTGACGTAAGTGAAAGATAACGATGATGGATACAAAAATAACAGTCATTAGGTTCAAAGCTCTTGAGGGTTCCCAAGATATAGGCTCAGGATCTAAGGATTTTAGACCCATTAATCTGTCATTCACTATTTATACCCAACGAACGAAATCAGTAAATAGCCCCGAGATGCGTGGATGTGCCTCTACATAAGTAGCTGGCGTAGCCCTTCCCAGGTAGCAAGAGCCGCTAGCAGGAGGTTTTCTTGCCATCAGCGTGAGAACCTCCCTTCTTAGGGCAGGGCTTCAGCTGGAGTTGAGTGGAGCGGATTGCTTGTCACGCTTCTGGTTCTGGCCCACAGACACTGCTCTACAGCCCCACCTATTGGTGAAATTTCATTTATTCTCCTCAAAGCCTTGTGTAATTGGCTCTGGTAAAGACGTTGAATTTTATTTTTTTAATCATAAAAAAGCTCTTTGCTCCTTACGACAGAGTATTAGGGCCAGGATAAAGATTATTTTTTTCTATTTTGAGAGTAATATCTTAATATTACGAGACTAAAGTCATAAAATTACGAGAATCAAGTCGTAGCAAGAATACTCATAAAATTACGAGATAAAGTCACAACAACAAGATTCAAGTTGTAACGAGAATAGTCATAAAAGTACAAGAATAAAGTTGTAACAAGAATAGTCATAAAATTACGGGAATTAGGTCGAAAAAATACGTGAATAAAGATGTACAATTACGAGATTCAAGTTGTAACGAGAATAGTCATAAAAGTACGAGAATAAAGTCGTAACAAGAATAGTCATAAAATTACGGGAATAAAGTCGAAACAATACGTGAATAAAGATGTACAATTATGAGATTCAAGTTGTAACGAGAATAGTCATAAAAGTACGAGAATAAAGTCGTAACAAGAATATTCATAAAATTACGGGAATAAAGTCAAAACAATACGTGAATAAAGACGTACAATTACGAGATTCAAGTTGTAACGAGAATAGTCATAAAAGCACGAGAATAAAGTCATAACAATACGAGAATAAAGCCGTAACAAGAATAGTCTTAAAATTACGGGAATAAAGTCGAAACAATACGTGAATAAAGACTTACAATTACGAGATTCAAGTTTCAACGACACTAGTCATAAAAGTACGAGAATAAAGTCGAAACAATACGTGAATAAAGACGTACAATTACGAGATTCAAGTTTTAATGAGAATAGTCATAAAAGTACGAGAATAAAGTCAGAACAAGAATAGTCATAAAATTACGGGAATAAAGTCGAAAAAATACGTGAATAAAGACCTACAATTACGAGATTCAAGTTGTAACGAGAATAGTCATAAAAGTACGAGAATAAAGTCGTAACAAGAATAGTCATAAAATTACGGGAATAAAGTAAAAACAATACGTGAATAAAGACATACAATTACGAGATTTAAGTTTTAACAAGAAAAATCATAAAAGTACGAGAATAAAGTCGTAACAAGAATAGTCATAAAATTACGGGAATAAAGTCGAAAAAATACGTGAATAAAGATGTACAATTACGAGATTCAAGTTGTAACGAGAATAGTCATAAAAGTACGAGAATAAAGTCGTAACAAGAATAGTCATAAAATTACGGGAATAAAGTAAAAACAATACGTGAATAAAGACATACAATTACGAGATTCAAGTTTCAACGAGAATAGTCATAAAAGTATAGTATAAAGTCATAACAATACGAGAATAAAGTCGTAACAAGAATAGTCTTAAAATTACGGGAATAAAGTCGAAACAATACGTGAATAAAGACTTACAATTACGAGATTCAAGTTTCAACGACACTAGTCATAAAAGTACGAGAATAAAGTCGAAACAATACGTGAATAAAGACGTACAATTACGAGATTCAAGTTTTAATGAGAATAGTCCTAAAAGTACGAGAATAAAGTCAGAACAAGAATAGTCATAAAGTTACGGGAATAAAGTCGAAAAAATACGTGAATAAAGACCTACAATTACGAGATTCAAGTTTTAACGACAATAGTAATAAAAGTACGATAATAAAGTCATAAAATTACGAGAATGAAGTCGTAACAAGAATAGTCTTAAAATTACGGGAATAAAGTCGAAACAATACGTGAATAAAGACTTACAATTACAAGATTCAAGTTTCAACAACACTAGTCATAAAAGTACGAGAATAAAGTCGAAACAATACGTGAATAAAGACGTACAATTACGAGATTCAAGTTTTAACGAGAATAGTCCTAAAAGTACGAGAATAAAGTCAGAACAAGAATAGTCATTAAATTACGGGAATAAAGTCGAAAAAATACGTGAATAAAGACCTGCAATTACGAGATTCAAGTTTTAACGAGAATAGTCATAAAAGTACGATAATAAAGTCATAAAATTACGAGAATGAAGTCGTAACATTGTAAGAATAAATTCGTAAAATAACAAGAGTTGTGTTAAAATGAGGAATGTGAAGTTATACTTTGGCTCTGGTTTCAAAAATAAGGAAATCCTTTAGCACCAGCGTCAAAGCAGGGAGGATCTTATAGGTTGCTGATTGGTGGAGCAGGTCGGCCGTCATATGCTGGTCGGAGCTCGAAGCTTTCTTTCTGAAACAGCTTGTTGTATGATGACTTCATTCTTGTAATGTCACGACTTTAAATAAAATAAAAAATCTCTAGCCTGACCCTAATACTCCATCGTAGCTCCTCAGCCAAATAGTACTTCAAATTTTTCTCCCTGCTTTGCTGTTCCTTTCATTCCTGCACCAATACAGAATCTCTAAAAAAAAAAAAACAGTGTAATAAAATAATTAAATATTGTTTTATTTATCATCGTAACCAAGTATTTTTATTATTTGTGCAGATATGTATACAATGCTTAAATATCATGCAGTTTAGCTCCATGTTGTTTTTAAGAAGACGCCACATTATACAGTAGAATGAAAAAAGAAATCTGGCATTTGTTGGATTTAACACTATTGTTTCATGAGAACTTAAAGGAATATGATAATATAAGATAATACATGCAAATTCAGATGTAATATTTGACTTGATTAAAACAAAATAAATAAATAATATTTTTTTGCGACAGCAGGTTAATAAAAATCGTAAATGAGACATGAGGTCACAAAGGTCAATTAGCATAAATGAGGCATCGTTATGTTATCTTGTGGACTGAGAGACGGATGTGAGATTCTTTTGAATTTTATTCAACTGACTTAAACGGTTGTCGATGTTACCATGGCAGGGAGGAATTCACACATACTCAAATAATATTGCAAAAAACTCAAATCTAAGGATGTCAATAACTCCATTGTTTTCTTGAATTGGGGAGGTGAGTGAGGCGCTCTGCCAATGGAACAAAAAAATTTACATTTGAAATAAGAAAAAAAACACTTCAGTGTCTTAACACAAGTCCATTATATGTAATAATGTTAATTTAACGGTAAAAGTCCTCATTCCATTGGAAGCTAATCTGTTTACCGACTCAAATTAACAGCAAATATGCTCTTTTTAAGAAATTTTTACTCAGATTGTTTTTGCAGTGCAAATGGTTCGGTGTCTGAGGCTCTACATTTCCTTCATTCATTGTGACTTTGTTGTTCATTGTTTCATTGCTTTGCCAGGACATCCACAGGAAGCGTATGGAAAAGGACTTATTGGAGCTGCACACCCTGATTGATGCTCACTTTGAGCAAAGGAAGAAGGATGAGGAGGAACTAATTGGTTTGAAGGATCGCATTGTGAGATTGCTTTTAAGATTATTGCTTGTCTCCAAGACTCCAAATTGGTTTTCAAATAAATGAGAAAGTAGACGATTGCTAAGTACTTTTTGCCCTCAGGAACGCCGTCGAGCTGATAGGGCTGAGATCCAGAGGGTTAGAGCAGAGAAGGAGAAAGACCGGCAGATCCGGATCGCGGTAAAGGCCGGGTTTTCTTTACCTGTTTGAAACAGTAAATCCTCAGTTTAACTGTCACTTGCAGCTTATGTTTAACATTTGCAATGCTTTGCAAACACCTCTGTAACCATTTTTTCACATTTTGTTATGATAAAATAACTAACTTACTTGTATTTTAGAGGATTGTATGTCACAGATCAGCACAAAGTGGTAAAGTGAAAATAAATAAATACATGATTCTCTGCACTATAGATAAAAATCAAAAAGTGTGATATGGTTATTGATACAGGGCCCTTTTACACTGATACCCCGAAATAAAAAACGTTGCCTCATTTGTCTTCAAAAGTATCTCTAAACTTTGTTAACCCCTACCCCCATAGCCTTTCAGCCAGGCCTCTAACAACCCTCTTTCAGAGACATAGACAGGTATCAGGTATTACAGGCTAACAACTAACTCAAACGACCCCTATTCAAAAGGGGCGGACCCGCTCGTCCAGTTGCATGTTTTCTAAACCAAAACAAAGTGTTTTTGGTCCAACCTGTAAAGCCTTGAACTTTACGCTATTTCTGACACTTTGAAATAAAAAAGCATCTTGGATGGGAGGCAAAACGTCTTCAAACTTGGAAACAAAGTCCAGTGGGGTTTTTTTCAAGTTTTTTTGGAATGACTATGACCAATAGTCTAGATGTAAAAAAAAAAGAGAAAAAAAAGAAGGGGGGATGGTGGAATTGTTTTTTTGGAAGAATACATAGCCTGATTAATATACTGTAGTCTATCAACCTAAAGCAAGTTTGGTTGTTATGTACATGTCAGGTATGCCGGTCATTGACCTTAACCAAGGCACCTTATAGAGGAGCTGCACCCTGTCCCTGGACTGCAATGACTATCACTGCCCCTACATAGTTAGGGACAAATACAGGCGACAAATCTCCCACTGTGATCAGATTCATAGTCATGGGAGGTCACTTCTTTGATTTGATTTCTTTTGCTCAGGCTACTCCTTAGCCCACAGCCAGGTTAATGTTGAAAGGGAAATATTGTTGCCATTACTGTTAATGTGCCCTATTTGTTGGTACTCGCTGCCACCATACCACCATTTTAGTGCTGGATAGGGGCCCTGCCCGATACTAGTATCGGTGCAACACTAATACATATACATATCAATCTATGCAATCCATTCCTCATACATACACCTTTGCAGGAGGAGCGTCACAGAAAAGAGGAAGAGGAGGCCAAAAAGAAGGCAGATGATGATGCCAAGAAGAAGAAAGTGCTAACTGGCATGGGAGCCAACTTTGGAGGATTCCTGACCAAGGTCAGTCACTTGTTTTCAGGCGGGTTGATGAGGAGAACAGGACAGAGCAGAGGGTGACGATGTGGGGTTCAAATCTGTTCCAGGCTGAGTCGAGGAAGAGCAAACGGCTGACAGGCAGGGAGATCAAAAGGAAGACACTGGCTGATAGACGGCAGCCTTTAGGCATCGATAATATGAGAGAGGATGGTTTAAGGTGAGTGACGTTCTTTTTTTATTTTGGAGATAATGCTTCTCAAGCATTAGGAGGCATCATCTGTTTACTACAGTGTGTTGAATTCATGTTATTGTGGATTTAAAGACATTTCAATTAGTGGAAACAATTTCAGAGGGGAATATAAAAAAAAAAAAGTTTAATCAACCAAAACTTTGGTGACCCCCTGTCATGTTGGGTGCAAGGCGTCTAACCCACATGTGCAGAAACACTCTCTTGAGACAGGGGAAAGTTTCAAAGATTTATTTACAAATGTACAGAGTGAATTATGCACGGGTTCTGGTTCTGTGGTCTGGTCACAGGAGGAAACTCCACTGATGAGGACAGAGTGATTAGTTTTGATCCATGGAATATGCAGTTTGATGATGACGGAGATTAATACCTGCTCAAAGGGATTTTGATCAGCAGGGGGGGAACCTTGTGAGTCCGGAGGCTTGTCGGCAGGCAGAGGGCTGAGGCAGAGACTGAGTGCAGGCAGGCAGGTTCCGGGTTGAGATTTTTCTCCTCTGAGGTTCAGGTTTCCAGGCAAGACAGGTTCTGAGAGACAGGGAGAAGACAGGGTCAGACAGGTTCACAAAAATCAGGCAAGATCAGGTAGGCTGGCTCAGGTTCTGCTAACCATTACTGGCAAACACTCTGGCAGGGAAGTGTTAGTCTCCTCCTCCTTAAGTAGGACCTCCTGATGAGCAGATTGAAGACAGGTGTTGCAGTCAGCTCATGCCCCCAGGAGATCTCGTGCGCCCTCTGGTGGAGAAGATGGACACAACCTTCAGATCCCAACACCCCCATGCAGTACCTCCTTGGACTCCCTAGGGGTCACGGACCCCCTGTTGAAGACCTCCACACTAACACATCTTTTTAATATATTTGAGAAAATGTTTTGATCCTAATGCTCACCGTAAACAGATTTAGTTAGAAACTGGAGCTCTTTGTAGCATAGCTCTATATCTGTGTTAGCATGTTCAATTTGTAGCTTCTTTGCCCAATTCTCCCATCATCATCATCAACTTTAATGTTCTGAAAATGTTCTGTTCAGACTTTCTTGCTGCCGTTTTTGTTGGACAAAGTTAATTAGAGGTGGGCAGATCGATCTTAGGATCGATACTATCGATATCAACTTTGGTATTGATATCGAACAATATTGGTTAAACAAGATCGATACTTTTTCTTCTCTCCCACACTCACTAATTGCAGCAGACTGACCAGTCTGCCCGCCTGTGTTACATCGCTTTGCTGCTCACCCCCTCTCGTTAGCGGCTCAGCACGCAGGCTCAGCCTGGCCCCGCCCACTCAGCTCTCTCTCCGCTCGACACATATAACTGCGCTGCTGCTCCACAGCAGAGCAGAAAAACATGAGGAGGGAAAGAAGCGGCATTTGAATATATTTAAAAAATGTAAATGAAACAGTGGCAAGCTGTATGGTTTGTATAAAGCCGATTAAATGCAGTGGAAACACAACAAGTGTATATAAGCACATGAAAACCCAACACCAGCAAGAAAACATTGAGCTACAGAAACAGAGAGAAGAGACAAAACTTCGCTCATTGCCCCAATAAATAAATACATAAAGCCTAAATGTTAAAAAGTATTGGTATTATATTGATATCAGCGATACTGACTCTATATTTACTTAGTATTGTATCGATTAAAAATTCCTGGTATCGCCCACCTCTAGAGCTAATGCTACATAACCTAGCATATGTCATTTACCCAAAATGCATTGTAGCACAAACAACCTGTTATGATCCACGTAACATTTCTAAAATTTTGTTTTTTTAGGAATTTAAATCTTTAACCCTTTAAAGCCCGATCCAAGAATAAAACAAAATAGAAAATTATATTTTTTTGGTTTGAATTCTTTATTTGCCCTTTTAACAAAATATGTAAAAAGAAAAAAACAGAAATACATTTTTGATATTAATAATTTATTACTATGTTATAAGTCAAGATTATTTTTTGTGTAGTCTTCTGCCCTCTGTTATCAGGTATATCTGATTGTGTACAATAGGATTTTGAGCAAAGTTTTTACCATTAAATTATGCAAAAGGGTTTCAGATGCAAAACATTTCAGAAACCGTATGTATCAAATATGATACATTTGGCATTATAGGGTTGAAAACTTACAGTTGTTTCACAGCATCATGTTTAAATTGAAAATATATATGTTTTTAAATAAAGTTCAATATCAAGGTTAAAGGAATAGAACACCCAAAACATGATTAGCCTTCATTTTCTACTCACCCCCATGCTGAACAACACTCTGGAGTACTTTTTTGATATCTCAAATGCATCTGGAGATCTGGGAGGCTTCTTGCTGTCTGCTGACATTCAAATAATGGAGGTCTATGGCGCCAGAGGCAGAAAGGTCCATAAAAGTCCACAAAAAACGTGTCAATATTCCTACATACTGCTCGTCCAATGTATTCCAAGTGTCCTGAGTGGCTAGCGTCCATAATTTACTCGAAACAAAGTCATTTAGAATGTTTTTAGAGCATAAACAGTAGTGTATAGGATTTCCTAAAAGTGCGCGCCTGCGCGTTCACGGCGCTACGGAAACCGCGGCAGACCAAACCAGATGAAAGTGCGCATTCAGCGTCTGCTCTGCCGATAATGCAAGCGTAGAAGAAGAAATGTGCTGTTTACCTGTGCAAAGAAAGAAACAACGAAAGAAAAATGTCTGAGGACTTTAGTGTTGAGGAAGAGCATGAGTTCTTTGCCGAGCTGAATGCGCACTTTCATCCGGTTTGGTCTGCCGCGGTTTCCGTAGACTCGTGAACGCGCTTTTAGGAAATCCTATACACTACTGTTTATGCTCTAAAAACATTCTAAATGACTTCGTTTCGAGTAAATTCTGGATGCTACCCACTCAGGACACTTGGAATACATTGGACGAGCAGTATGGAGGAATATTGACATGTTTTTTGTGGACTTTTATGGACCTTTCTGCCTCGGGCACCATAGACCTCCATTATTTGAATGTCAGCAGACAGCAAGAAGCCTCCCAGATCTCCAGATGCATTTGAGATATCAAAAAAGTACTCCAGAGTGTTGTTCAGCATGGGGGTGAGTAGAAAATGAAGGCTAATCGTGTTTTGGGTGTACTATTCCTGTAATTGTGCATTCCTTTAAAGCTTTACTCTAGAGCCACTTACCCTGCTGAATCGCTATAAAACAAAATGTAACCATAAAAACAACAACATTTACAGTCTGGTAATAAAAACGGTGTGTTTATTCGTAGGAACCGGGCGCAGGAGATGTGGAACTGGATCTACCAGCTGGAATCTGAGAAATTTTATTACATGGAGCAAATGAAGCACCAAAAATATGAGGTGAGTTGTTAAAACCTAATACTGCTTTTAACTACCTCATAAAATATAAAAGCGAGTTTGATAGTTTAAACAATAAATGTACAGGTTTTTCTCTAGGTTAGACTTAAATATTTACTTACACAGTAGGATTAACTGTACAAAACATTACATGATTATTTTAAACACATCTAACCATGCATGACCCAAAGAATACAGGAGATGCCATGCCATTATAAACAGTGACTAATCCCATATTAAACCTAATTCATTATCATAAGTTTAACTCTTTACTTTTAAAGTTTAAAACAAAACAATGAGAAAATGGGGTTTTAGATTCTTCCATCTCATTAGAATAAATAAAATGTTGGTCATGTCTTTCATGTTTTCAGAAACCGATATATCCAATATTGGTTGATATCCGATATATATCGGCCAGAATATAAAAAAAAAAAAAAAAAAGGTACATGGACATAGTACAGGGGCTATGCGCCGTCCAACTATTGTTCATCTTAATTCTCATAATAACCAAACATATGATTCAAGAAAAAGAAACAGACATTTTGTGAATTTTTGTAATTAGATGTCAGTTCTGCAGAACAAGTGGCTACAAACAGATTAAAGCGATAACATCGGTTAATGGGAGTTGTTTTGAGTCTTTTAAAAGAGTCGTTCACAAAAACACCTTAGAAATATAAGTATATCATATTTACAAGCAAATGAGAAGTTCTCTCAACTAAACAAAAGGGGCTAAACTAGATTTAATGCTACGTTGAGACTGCAGCAGAAGCAGCTGGTTAATATGCAAAGTCAATGGTTGACGCGTATGAAGGCGCATCAGAAGGACCTGCAGTAATTTTTAAGCAGCGGAAGCAGGGTATCTTGACACAGCTGAGAACCTGAAGCAGCACCTTGTGGCTTCTGAGCATCTGAGGCGCAGGATGCATTGCACAAGAAGCAGCTCCTGGAGTTGGAAACATTTGACTTTTGCTGCTCGACGCCCCACATCAGCCAATCAGAGAAGCTGATCTCGGAACTAGCAGGGAGAGAGACACAGCACTGCTGATGCAGATCACTATGATCACCCCCCTGAAACAGTCTATTAACGCCTAATTTAACTTAAAATGTCAAAAACTGATGGCAAAATATCTTTGCTTTTATTATTCTGGTGGCTGCAGTTTGAATTGTGTACATGAAAAACGCTAAAAATCTACTTCCAGCTGCCACAAACAGTAGCGGAAAACCCCCAAGTGACAATGTCGGACTCCGTAATTTTCTCTGGTCCTCTCCCAGATCTGACCAGTGATGACATTTTGCTGCGTGTTGTCATTCAACCGCTGGTTGTCGAGGTGGTGTCTACACAAGATCTATGTTTGCTTTTATTACTCTGGTGGCTGCAGTTTGGATTGCGTACATGAAAAAAGCTAAAAATCTACTTCCAAAACCCCCAAGAGGTGACCAGGCCAGAGGCTGCTGCTGAAGGGGATTTCCAGTGACAGCGCACCACCGGTGTACGGTGGTTTAGTTCTGATCTGCTCGGACCAATCTCCACACGGTTTCAAAAGCGTAGTGTAAATGAGGCTAATGTTAAAGTGATGTCTGACCTAGGACAGAGGGGAAAATTTAGGTTCTGTATTTTCCCATCCACCTGAGCACAGCCAGCCTTATGTTAAGCAGCTTGATAAACTTCTAAAATGCTGCGTTAGCAGAATAACCATTGAGAAAGAATGGCAGGTGGGGGTAATTCTGGTACTGCAGTGGATAATCAGAATTAAGTGATAATCGGAAGGCCTAACAGGAAAAGCTTTTATTAAAAATAAATCTGTATTTCTTTGCTAACATTTAAAAACACACGTTGTCCATTAAGGTGTTATGGAAAGATTGCACCTTAAAGCTTTCTCTCTCTGGTTCTTTTGCTTTGAAGAGATGACTCTTTAAATAACACTTCATAATGTATAAGTATTAAATAGACATGATGATGAGAACAGATTTTGACAGAAATTGTAACCTTACTCATATCAGAGAAGTTGCTTAGTGTTACATAAGGCAGCTGCTTACCAACAGGGCTCACATCTCATGAAGTGGCCATGGGTTAAAGAAGCAATTTATACAACTCCAGTCTGCCACATCATGACATCAGTACATCATACACTTCTGCAGATCAGGAGACATCCATGGCTCCAGGCTCATCAAATTATTTCATTTTTGTTCTTAGATCAAGGACATCAATCTCATTCCATCCCCAAATCTTTGCCAAGTACATAATGAAGATGACATTTTGTCCTGACAATGAAACCATCCCAATTAGATGAACTACTTTAGAAAACATTCGCTCTGACACACAACAGGCAGGAACTATGAGGGTATAACAGACTCAGAAATCATCAATAATACTAATCCTAACAGAGGTTACTTAGTTAGTCCAGGGCCCCCCCTCTACCCTGGGCATGCATGCTTTGAATTGACGATTCACATGTTTGATTGTTCCCACTATCCAAACTAATTGAGATTTTATTCAACTTTAATAATATTCTGTCATTGTGATGCATGTATTCCTTTCCATCCCACAGATTACTGTGTTACTGAACAGAATTCAACATGCTCAGAAATTGTGAGTTGATACAAAATCTAATATTGTTTGTATTTCAGCTCTTGCTCATGAACCCCTTTTAATGCTCATCCACCTTTTTTCCCCCCTCAGTAAAAAAGGTCATGGTAAAGGAAAGGTGGGTGGTCGCTGGAAGTAAGGCCTGAAAAACAAAAACAAATATATAAAGGAGACCACAGGATAATGAAAGAAAAAAAAAACGTCTTTCCATCGGAGTCTTCCTTTGTCCCATTGGTTTCTGTGGATAGGATATTGTATCTGGATGTTGACTTTCTGAAATAAAGAAAATAAACTACATTTGAATGGTGTCTTTGTAAACCCCTTATGTTAAAGCTCTGGTTTTACACATGTCTAGACTTCTAAAGTAAAAACACAGCACAATGGAGAATAACAGGACACTTCTAGGCTTTTTCTTTCCTTCCTTTGCCATGACAGATCATGTTTTCTGCTTGGGGGCATCTTTTCATGCTACTGCTCACATTGAACTCAAGGTTGACTCAGAGTTGAGTTAGCTGATTGATATAATCCATTCTGAAAGAAACCTTTTGTAATACAGTGTCTTGTGAAAGTATTCGGCTCTCTTTAACTTTTTGACCTTTTGCCACATTTCAGGCTTCAAACATGAAGATATAAAATTGTACTTCTTTGTGAAGAATCAAAAACAAGTCTATGCAGCTTCTCTGTTACTCACTCTTTACTCCATCCAGACAGTGTCTTGCCCAAGACCAAAATCAAATAAATTAGTAAAGTTTCCCAAAGAAGTAAATCATGATAATCTAATAAAAACTCAATTTGGGTAAAAAGTTGAAATTATTAAATGTGATTTATTTAACATAAGATCTCTTTCTTCATAAACTAGTAGTCAATGACTACTCTTGTGATAGTAACTTTGATTTATGTTGTCTTACAGTAACTTGGCTGCAGCAAGAGGATTATGTGAGCATAAATTGGGCAACTCCTTCTAGTCATTTAAAATTTCACATCCCCAAATTCTTGGCAAGGAGCAACATCCAGTAGCAACAATCTTTCAGTCTGACTTACTGATTATTTGAAAGGCAGTTAATACTTACAACTCTTTAGAACATTTAACCCTTAGTTTCCCTTAACCAAATAGCAAAAACTCTATTTTTTAACTTTGTATCGTCCACCAGGTCCTTAATCTGAAAACTTAGATGAGATTTCAGAGTTCCCATTCGATTTAGTGTTGAATACTTACAGGGTCATCACAGTGGGGGATTTTAACAACCATGCTGATATTGAAGGTGATAGCTTAAGAGCAGCCTTTAATGCCATCTTAGACGCTTTTTTCAGTGGTTTTATTCAAAATGTGAACTTTCTCACTGACATATGACATTGAAAGTGAAGAAATAACAGATATGACATTGAAAGTGAAGAAATAACAGTATTTCCTCACAACGCTTCCCTCTTTGACCACAGAAATCTTCTCCCCCAAAAGAAGGTTTCACTTTAGAACAGGCACCCCCAAACTCGGTTCTCGAGGGCCGCTGTCCTGCATGTTTTAGAGGTTTCCCTGCTTTAGCACAGCTGATTATAATGATTGCAGTAGAGCAAAAGCCTGCTAATCAGCTATCAATTAAAATCAGCTGTGCTGGAGCAGAGAAACATCTCAAACCTGCAGGACAGCGGCCCTTGAGGACCGACTTTGGGGATGCCTGCTTTAGAAGATCATTATCAACTAAGGCTGTTACAAATTTTCCACTTTCCCTCTCCTCTGTGTCGCTGAGCAGCGCTGCAGAGGGTAAAAGCTTAATTCATTCCCTTCACAGGTTGGACCCAATATTCAGCAGACAAACAGAAAGCTTCAAAACAGTTTTATTTAAAAAAAAAAATAACTGAAAGAGGACGGTGGAAACTCCTCAGAGCGGGTTCTCTGATTCTCTGCTGAGACAGGAAACTCAGGTCAGAGACAAGAATGAAGAGTGGAGAAGACAACAAAAAGTCACTGACCTGGTTGAGAGTTCAGTCCGAAACTCAGAGAGGAGAAACCCGGGGGGGGAGACAGCTTGCGGTCATTACCGCCTCAGAGAACAGAGTGTGGGGGAGCCAGCCCCAGCGCAGTGTCAGAAACCAGAAGAGCCGAGGAGGTATCCAGGGAGAATCCAAGCCGAGGTCAGAAAAACAGTCCAAGTTCGATATAAGGCCAAATCCAGGCAGTCAGGCCAAAAACCAAACTGAGCAGGGCAGACAGGGAAAAAGGCAAAAAACCAAAAACACATGGGCAAAAAACTGAGAAGAATTCCACAGAACAGAACATTTACTTTGACAGCTTGGGTAACTCACAATGACACAGGTTGAATAATCCAAGCTGATAGCAGGAAAACCAACAGCCTAAATAGCTGCAGGGAACAGGTGAATCAGATTGGCAGTAATAAGCCACAGGGCCAATTTGGCAGGTGAGCAGGAGCAGAGGAAAAAACCCAACTATCAGCGCCAAGATTATGACACAGGTTGTTGATTTTGTTGATGGGGTAACTAGTTCTCTGCATACTGCCTTAGACAAGGCAGCCCCTTTGAAAAAGAAAATCTTTAAAAATAAACATTTTTGTGAGTAAGGGCAAATTCTTCAGCCAGGACAGCTGCCTCTTGTAAGGTTGAGGCTTTCTGTTTATTCAAGTACAAAACTGTACGATCTGGAAGGCAGTTTTTGTACTCTTCCAACAATATCAACTCACGTAGTGAAGAAAAATCAGTAACTTTAGTTGCCTGGCACCATCTGTCAAATAACATTCCCTTTTCCCTTGCAAATTCAACGAATGTTTGTGCACTGGATTTTCTTAAGGATCTGAAACGCTGCCTGTATGCCTCAGGCACCAGCTCATATGCCCTGAGTATGGCAGCTTTAACTTTGTCATACACAAGACTGTCTTCAATTGTTAGTGCTGCACATACTTCCTGTGCCTTACCACTGAGTTTGCACTGCAACAAAAGGGACCAAACTTCTGTGGGCCAATGAAGGGCAACAGCAATACGTTCAAACGCATTAAAATATGCCTCCACCTCCGTCTCCCGGAATGGTGGGACCAGGGCAATATTTTTGCTGATCTCAAATGTGAAAGGTGATGAAGGGGAGGAAGGTTTATCTGGGGAAATAACGCCGTCATCTTCATCCCCACCAGAATCCGTAGTGAGTACAGTGGTCAGTGTATGAGACTGTAACTCCAGCTGACGCAATTTGATGTCAGTTTCAGCTTCAATTCTTCTGCACTTAAGCTGGAACTCAAATTCATCCTTCCGTTCCCTTTCCTTAGCTTCAAGTTCTAGCCGCACCAGACGTACCTTTAGACGTGCCTCAACGCTAGGAGTAGGGGACTCCATAGAGAAAGGCTCAAACCGTGGGAGAGAGGCTGGTGGTTTTTCCAACTCTGGCTTGGCAGAAACAGGAGGTGTCTTCACTCCCTCCTCAGCACAAACCTCTAACTGATCAGCAGTTTCAGAAGAGCTGGCCTCCTCCTTATCCAATCTCACTGGGAGTAGGCCTACTCCTTTCTCAACCAAGCCACTGAAGACAAGAGATTTCAGTTCACGTTTAAGCAAAGACTTAGAGACACGGATACCAAAAAGTGATGCAATTTCATATAAATCATCTTTTCTACAGACATCAACATTTTGTATGGTAGGGTTACCCAAAAACTCCCTGGCTAACCACAAAACAAGGAGAAAACAGTTCAACAAAAATGGCAGAGGACCCCTACCAGCTTCCACTGTGAACAGAAAAACAAAACTTTAGTCAGTCAATTGTTCAGCATGAACACACACAGAGACATTCAGCTCATGAACAAGATAACTTCAGATCAAGGCCCCAGTGAATAAGAGAAGGGGGCCTGACATCTCAGGGTTGAAGCTCTTTATGAGGTGGCTGACGAGCTTCAACACATTGCACCTGTAACAGCCAGGGAGACCTGAAACACAGAGAGCTCTCTTCATGAGAGAGCTCCTAGAGGTCAGTAACCGTAACAATGTCCCCACCAACTTGGGTATGGATGGGACAGTTCCCACCAATAATTTCCGCTTTTTCCCCCTTTCCGCTGATTAGCCAACAGTAACTGGGGTTGGGTGCAGCTAACTGTTTTCAGAGCGTTTTCAGTCCGTATTTTTTCCTCGCTCTCCCACTGCTCTCGAGTCCCACCTCTTGGTGAATGTAAACAGGCGACCTCTCGGCTGGATTTTCATGCTCATCCACCTTTTTTTCCCCCTCAGTAAAAAAGGTCATGGTAAAGGAAAGGTGGGCGGTCGCTGGAAGAAAGGCCTGAAAAACAAAAACAAATATATAAAGGAGACCATAGGATAATGAAAAAAAAAAAAAAAACTTCTTTCCTTCGGAGTCTTCGTTTGTCCCATTGGTTTCTATGGATAGGATATTGTATGAATGTAAACAGGCGACCTCTCGGCTGGATTTTCAGTGAGAAAATGAACTTTCCCAGGCAGAGTGAAGTTGAGGCATCAGCAGGTTTATTTGGCTCCACAGCATTCAGTTTCCATCAAACACACTATCTCTGGCTTAAATAGACACAGCTGAAGGACTAAACCATTTACATAAAAATTAACTCCTCACTTCCATCTAAAAAACACACATTTAAATTAAATATCTACAAACACACACTTAAGGTTATTTTTTTATAAATATTTTCTGATTTAACTTACACCCAAACACTCTAGAAATCCCACAAACTATGTGCACAAGTCCCCCTATGTTTTCCATGGTCTCTCCCAGAACCTTTAAATGGTGTCTGGACCCCCGGGGAAGCATTTGTCCAAACACCCTGGAGAGGACACAGAAAAGACAGGTAAGTCACTTTCTAGGCACCACAACACTTCCCTTGCACATACTTCTGACAGACTTTACACTAACATTTGGTGAAGTTTCTAAACAGTAGGGATGGTGAGCAGAGGCGATTCTAGAGTCTGTGGGGGCCCCAAGCATAAAATCCTAGGGGGCCCTACTGACCAGTGTTCATCACCGTTATGTTAGGTTATAAATAATCTGACACCAATGAAAAATGTATTAAATAAAACCTTTTTTTTATTCCAAATGTTCTAAACATGAACAACCTTGTTATTTTGGAAAATATAAAAGAATAAAAGTAAAAAATAAACTAATAAATTAAAATAAATGTATAGTAAAATAAAAAAAAACAGTAAATTACTTTAAAAACCCAATATAAACTTTGTACAAAATATAAAGTATAGTAAGTGTAGTGAAATTATTGGGGTCCTATACTGCTTCCAGAATTGCTGCTTACGGGCCTTCGCTTGTGCAAATGCAGACACTGAGGCCG